GCCTTACTACTAGGAGCAAGAAGCTATTAGTAGCTCCTGGCCTTACTTCTAGGAGCAAGGACGCTACTAGTAGTTCCTGGCCTTACTACTTACTAGGAGCAAGAAGCTATCAGTAGCTCCTGGCCTTACTACTAGGAGCAAGGACGCTATTAGGGGCACCTGGCCTTACTACTAGGAGCAAGAAGCTATTGGGGGCACCTGACAGCAACTCCGTCAGTTTTGCAAAACGTGTTTTGCTCATCTCTCTGGCCTCGACCATGAGCACCTAAACAGCATGACAGCCGTAAAGCCAATGAAAACACTGCGGACAATTCAATGGAAAAATGTATTGTCTTAAACAAAGCCCACCCTTAATTAAGAAGTAATTAAGTAGGCAGTAGGCGCCTACTTGATTAAGCGACGGCTAAACAAGCTACTACTAGCTTGTCAATTGTAGGTAACTGCTTCTTCAAGGAAGCTCCCCCCGACTCGACTGAGGGCGGTGGGGAGCTTCCTTGCAGAAGCACTCGCACTATTCATTTGGTTCCTGGATCAACTTTATTAAAATACAAATGCCGCCTTTCATCAGGGCCCCTTGAAAGGAAATATCAGTAAAGGGGTGCATACCTTCTTTGTTTCCTGTGTGTGTGAGGGATGAATGCATTGAACACGACGTTGAATGCACTAAACAGGACCAGCAAACCAAAGACACAATGAACACAAAATATCGTCATGATGTATGATTTATCATGATTCCATAAATAAGACTAAAATAACCACAGACGCCACAAACTAGCTCAGAATGCCTCAAGGCTTTCTTCATAGCAACCATCCAGCAACCATCAAAACCAACATCTGGGTGTCACACATTTCGCGAGAGCTTTTCGGCTGGCTGTGTTCTCCAGGCCGAACTGCTTCATCTGCGTGCAAACAACCAAATGCAGCAACTCAAGAGTGTTACAAAGGTTCTGACACAAATATGAAGAGATGCTACACCAAAAACACATTTCGAGGCACCTTCACTGTGTGGCGACACTGGTGAAGCCCCTGACGAGATTCCCGTACGTTGCGATGCGCGTTGCGCGATGCTGAAGAATCCGTTTCCGTCAAGCTGCCTTTTGCAGCTCTTAGCGCAGCCAAGGCATTCTCAGATCTGGAGCTTGTGCGTCCTGCGTTGCGACACGACTTGCAAAGCTGGTGTCTGGCAACTTCACATTTCACATATATAGCTGCATGCTGAGGCAATCTCTGGGAAAACAGCTTAACTAACCATGTGACTCAACCACAGAACTATCACCGAACATGGTGAAACAAGAGCTTGCAAAAAGCTTGCCGTCAAGGTACTGAGGAATAGAAACTGCAAAGTACAAACAAATAGTTAAGATGTTTGTACTATACTCATATGTCTTAGCTAGACTTCTTTGTTCCTTGTGAATATCGCATGTACTTACAAGCAACTACAAATATCCTTGGGTGTTGTGTAAAAGTGCCATATGACCATATGGAAGAAGAAATGTCTTAAACAATGAAATGCACCCACACACACACACACATCATCAACATCAACATCATCTACATCTATAGATTCATATGTAAATAGCTATATATTATGTATATTATATATAGTTATATAATAGTTATATTATACATTCACTCCCCGGAAGCCCTCCTGACACAGGTCGCCGGTCACGTGGCGTCGAGTACCAACTCTCCAGCACGGAGGAGTGCCGCCCGACGGGCGGTGGTGGGCTCGTCGGTGCCGGCATCGCCTGAAGGACCCAAAAGCAGCAAGCCTTCGGTGCCGGGCTCCTGGCCTTACTACTAGGAACAAGGACGCTACTAGGAACAAAAGGCATCGCTACTAGGAGCAAGGACGCTACTAGTAGCTCCTGGCCATACTACTAGGAGCAAG